TGTCCTCAGGGAGGATGCATTCCTTGTTACAGATCCCTGGTCCCAGAGCCTCATTGCCTTTATCCGCCCATAGGTTTTCTAAGGGGTTAGATCACCTTCAGCCTTTCCTCCCATCTCCAGGAACAACCCAGCAGCACTGAACCCTGCCTCACCAAGCAGAAACTGGGCAGGCTTTCTGCAAGGAGGTGAGCCTGGCAGAGCAACCTGGAAGCTAGGGCAGCAGAACTCTAGGACCCACGACTGGTCTGGGCCACCTTGCAGCTCAGCCATGCTCGGTGGCTGGGGACAGGCTTGGGAGCTGCCTACAAATTTGATGGTACAAGAAGCCGTTTAAAGTTTTATTTTACAAAACAGAATAAATTAAAAATGCATTAGGAATGAGGCCCTTACTTAACTACAGGGTGTGCTAATGGGCTTGGAGCCTGCGCTCCCTCCTCCTTTAAGCTCTTAATGACTAAGCTTTAATGTATTTTATTTCTTGAAAAACAATCCCACAAGTGCTCAGTACAGTCGGAAAAAACATTTCTAAAATCATTAGACCGCTGCACGGTAAATATTCATCACAACCGCAGCTCCCACCTGCTCGCAATGAGCATTGATTTTCTTCTTGCCGTGTTTTGCTCTCTCTTGCTTCTCATTTCTCTTCTATTCTCCCCTCTCTCCACCTCCTCCCCTCAGATTCTCACTGGAAGCTTCAGCAAGGCTTGGCAGGGGCTCTCTGAGGAGATATACTTTCAAAGGGAGTAGAAAAGTTTGTCGATATTCAGCCCAATAAGAACTACCATACCACCTGCTGCAAGGCTTCCTGGTGCTTGTGGTGGGTCAGGGGCCCTGTGGCCATGAGAATCCACTGCCGTCCCTCACTGATGCCCGAGGTGCTACCATCAGGCATGATCACACCAAAGGAAAACTGTTAGTTTGGCCATTCAGAGATTTAGAATCCAGTCCTAATCTGGTTAATATCATCGTGTGATGTTGAGCAGGTCACATCACTGCTCTACCCATTAGGATTGTCATCCATAAGATGACAATATTGGGCAAATCATCACTTAATTGATAGTCTATGATCTCTCTAGCTGAAGAGCTGGGCTTTAATCCCATGCTAGCCAATCACTAGTTGTATGTATATCCATGCTCAAGTTGCTTAGCATTTTTGCCTTGTTTTTCTTAATATATATATATATATATATATATATATATTATATAATATAGATAGATTGATAGATATAAACATGTATGTATAAAACACATATCTTGGAATGGTGTTTGAAATCTAAAATTATAATATATACTGTATGCTGAGCACTGAGCCCTGCACATATCAGGACTCGACAAATTACCATTCTTTTGTCTCTACCTGCAGTCATTCCTGTCCTCATGTGGGACACATAGAGGCTGAGCGTTATGCTACAGAGTTGGAACATAAATGTTCTGGAGCACCTGTGAGGTATTCACAGAATGAGAGGAAGGGATAAGACAACTGCCCACTTAGCATCTGGGCCCATGTCCCCAGGTCTAGAGGAGATGGAAGAGGGATCTCTTTGGGTGAATGTATTAACAGAGGAAAACATAACCAAAAAGATGAAAGCAACCAAACCTCCACCTTCTTTGATGCACAAACCTATCACTCCCTCATTTGATATCCAAAATCTTGTGAGTCAGAGAAAAGTTATTATATCCAACTTGTAGATGAGTAAACTGAAGTTCAAAGAGGTTTGCACTGTCACAAGGATGGTAAATGACAGAATGAGGTTACACATCCAGAGCCACCAACTCCACATTCACAGACATTAACCAAAATTCTCTTTTACTCACAGCTATTCAGAAACACAATTTATGACAGTGAGACAGATCATCACAAACATCATGCCAAATTAGGGCCTATTCTCAAATATTTTGTGTGTAATACCTACCACTACAGAGGGGATCGAGATTGTTGGTAGTTTCTCGATTCCTGCCATCTGCCACCAATGAATGGAGATTAGCAATGTAAGTTCTCAGAATTCAGCTGAGTTTCCAATAAGTGAGAAGTGCTAGGGTGAGAGTTTCTGACTCTGTTCTAAATTAAATATTTCTTTCTCTTCATGGTCTATGAACATTGGTCTAACATACGATTAAAAAAACTTACAGAGAGTTTATAACATGTCAGACACTGTGACAGGATATATGACACATCGTCACAATTAATTTTTGAAATGGCTCAACAAGGTGTACAACATCATCCCCATTTTATAGATGTATGAAAGGGAATGTTCATATAAGTTACATAGCCAAGGTTGCATAGATAATGAGACATCTATGACTGACTTCTCCTTGACCTTCCTTACTATAAATATTAAAAAGTAAAATATTGTTATGGAGATCCACCAGCATATGGAAATTGAGAAGGGGGAGATGACCTGTGGGCCTATGTGGGATCGTTATTAAGATCCATGGCATTACTTCCATATAAGAATGGATAAAGAAACTGTGGTATAAATACAAAATGGAATATTACTCAGCATTAAAAGAGAATAAAATCATGACATTTGCAGGTAAATGGATGGAGTTAGAGAATATCATGCTAAGTGAAGTAAGCCAATCCCCCAAAGCTAAAGGCTGAATGTTTTCTCTAATATGTGGATGCTGATCCATAATGAGGGTGGGGAGGAGTATGGGAGGAATGGAGGAACTTTAGATAGGGCAAAGGGGAGGGAGGGAAAGAGAGGGTAATGGGGGTAGGAAAGATGGTGAAATGAGATGGACATCATTACCCTAAGTGCATGTATGAAACAAATGGTGTGACTACTTTGTGTACAACCAGAGACATGAAAAATTGTGCTCTATATGTGTACTATGAATTGAAATCATTCTGTTGTCATGTATAACAAATTAGAATAAATTTTAAATATATGTTATATATTTTTAAAAAATAAAAAAACAAAGGTCTGGGGCATTATCCTTTGTATTTTCCCAAAAAGTTTGTGAATTGGCTAGTTTCAAGAAAACACACACATAAGTAGAAGCTTCCATGACTCTGGCATTGACCATCAGGTTGGATCTTGGTCAGCAGTGATGGGGTATGTTTGGTTTTAGGTCAGTGAACTAAGAAACAAACAGTAAATATTGCAACCAACCACAGAGGGAGCTTAATAATAATGATATCTGGATATCCAGATATCTTAGGAGCCTTTCCCACTCCCCACCCTCAGGAAGGATGAGTCACTCCCAGATGTCATGAATGCTGCTTCTACAACTAAATGCCACTTTGCCCTGGGAGCGGGAGAAAGGAGAGAAATTCAAGAGCTCATTTCTCTTCTTTAATTAAGCAGTGAATATAAGATAAAGCATCTGTCCTGCTGATCCTTCAGAGGATGAAGTGATGACCAAAAACAGTGCAGGTGATGGTGCATCCTTAGTGAGCGCTGCTGTTTCAGCACCTTGGAGAGGGCCTGGACTTTCCTATTCAAAGGTCATGAGCTCCTGGGACTTTTCCTGATGACTTTTTGCATAACCTGCACTTTACACTCTCTTTCTGGAAAGAAAGGAACAGCTGCAGACTGAGACTAGGATGTTAGCATCCAAGGAACTTTCTCAGCCTGAGTGGGGAATTGTCCTGCTCTACTTTCACCCATTCACTGTGGTCACATAGCAAGTTTCAGAATTTATCAGTGCACCACTATCATCAAGCAAGGTAGAAATGAATAAGAACACTGCCTGTCATACTAGGAACTCAATATTATTTAATAAAAGACTCAATTATATATTTGTATCACCAATAATTGAACCTATATCCTATGATAAATAATGCTTATACACTGTTTAATAAGATACCAAAATATAAGGCATGCTTTAAAACTATTAACTATTATCCTAAGAAAATACCCAAAATGCGAACACAGATGTTTAGCACAACATTGTTATAATAAAAAAATAGAAATAACCTAAATGTTTAACAATATGGTAATATATATGATAGAATAAAACAGCTATGAAAAGATGCTTTTAAAATGCCTTTGTGATTGGATGGTACTGATGGAGATTTTTATCCTTGGGAATTAGTGCAATTTACAGCAGAAGCAGAGAACTGTTGAAAACAAAGTAATTAAACATTTCAGTGGCTGGCCTTAAGAGAGATCTGATTCTCAGTCTTGAGGCTCTCAATACTGACAGAGTTGACAAAAGTTGAACTGATTTGGTAGCTTTTTACTAAGGAGATATAAACATGGGGTCCTCATCAGTATGAGTTGTTGAGTCTCCAACCCATCCATATGGACCCAATGACTAAGAGTTAGAATAGTGAGAATGACCAATAGGAGGGACAGCAAATTGCCAAGGCAGTCATGTAAGCAGGGTTTGTTGTTGCTGTTTGTTTTCCTTTTATGTCCTCTGCATCTCCCTCTATAGCAGGGGAGAAAGATGGTTAAGAGACAGGGAACATATGAGAAAGAACAGGCTGTGTCATCCACCCCACCTTTACTTTCTGGTACAAGCTGCAAGTCCAGCCCACCCCTTGAGTATAAGAGGAGATCTGAGGAGAGCTTGGAGTTAATTGATTATGAGATTGAAGTTTTTCTAATGTGAACCATTAGGCTTATAAAGAAAATGAGACCATCTTAATAACTGAATGTTATTGAAAATTGTACTGAGCTATTGTCAGGGATGTCTTTTTCTTAGCAAGAGGGGAGGATTTGACATAGCACAGTAGTAGACAATTCCTGAAAATGTAGAAGCATTGCATGTTTATATCCCAATGAGTTTGAGATGTTATCATCAAACTTGTTACATTCATAATATAATGACATATATCAAGACACAAAATTGTATGTGTAATAGGTTTTCATTCTGTAAAATATACAAAGGACTCAAAGAAAAATATATCAGAAGGATATGGGTAGATGAAATGATAAGAAATTTTAATTTTCTTCTTTATATCTTTATTTACCAAATTTCCTCACTGGATATATATCACTTTCATAATCAAGAAAAGATGTTTAAAGAACTTACTTTTCTGTGTGAGTTTCTTTTCCTAAGGCTCCACTTTTGGGGGCAGGCTCTCCATTATTTTTGGCTGTCTTACTGCTAAAGTCCCCTTGAAGGACAGAGAAAAAGTCCTATTTGGGGGTAAACTAAAGCTTCAGTCTAACCACGACTCCACTTCGGATGTTGATTTTAGTGTTTGTCTTAGGGACGGAGAGTAGCAACATTTCAGGGGCTGGACCCTGTGCTCAAGGCTCCATAGACTTTCCACTACAGGCTCTGAAAAAAAAAATTAAAGGAACCATGTTCTCAGGGGCAACTGATTACCGTGTCAACTGCAATTGGTTTTCCTAGAGCCAGAGGAGCAGAATAGCAAGTGCTTGTAGTACATCATGAGAAGCCTGGTGGGATTTCATCCATATAAATAATCCACACAGTGTCAGCTCTAATTTTTCATTCCTTGACATAGAAGCATGCATGGAACAAGGTTAGAGAAACAGAACTTTTCCAAGACACAGTTGTTTGCCTGAAGATGAAGCTTGAATGATCTGCACAAAACCACCACGTCAACACCTGAATTACAGGCATCCAAAGGTGCTCAGGTACAATTTAAAAAGCCAGGACCAACAGCCACTGGCTTCAACAGGAGGACGGGAGAAAAGTATGGTCATTTGGGTATAGGAGAAGCCAATAAAATAAGCATGTATTTCTAACATAATTTTATCTCCATGGATTTATGCTACATTACATCCATTTTACATCAATGAAGAACTCTAAAGAAGTAAAACTAGCAGGGAGCCAGAAGAAGAAATCTTCAAAGGTTTTGGTCATTTCTGGGATGTTATTCCAGGAAAGCACCTGGGTACCCTGACCTGCTTCTAGAAGATTGGGGAGGTTGGAAAAGGACTGTATGAAGGAAGGATCCGTGGTCAGAGATGCTGAGTCTTCATGATTTTTGCCTGGGTGAGGATGACCCCATTTACTCCCTCACAGGTAGAAGCCATAGTTCTAGGCAGAAACAGTCCTAAAAATTATTAGAGGAGATTCTCATGTACTAAGAAAATTTTGTCTCCCAAACCCTTTCCTGCTTCTGAATACCTAAGTTCTTCTAACAGGGATCAAAGCCTGTAACACAATTAAAAGGGAAGACTTTGTGTAACAACACCCCTTGGAGAATAAACACAGTTTCTTAAAGGTGTACTAATATAATTTCAGATTCCAGGCTGAAGGTGAGTTTTCATGCCAGGTAAAAGATAGAGATCAGGAGGTGGCGTGCCTCAAGAAGAAAAGGAGACTCTAGTTGTCATGAAAGGATAAAGAATGAAAGAGAATGTCTGAGGGTGCCAAAGGCAGACTAACTTCACCCTCTGGCCTAGAAGGGATGAAGTTTTCAGGAGGACACAGAAACCCTCTAACTCTTTGGGAGAGAAACCAATATAAATTGAGAAGTCCTTGAGTTGTTCTGAATTCATTTCTCGGTATTCAATTCCAGACTTTAACTAAGAACCATTAAGGCCAGGGAGTAGCTACAGTGTGTCCATTGACCATCCATGACTCGTCAGACTGCCCAACTGGCCTTTCTGATAACATGCTTAACTATGGTTGTTTAAATGAGTCAGGCGGAGCAAGAATCAGGAGACACAGGGTTAAGGGTGTCTATCTAAATAATAATTATGACACCAGCTTCTATTTGGAACGCATTTGTGCCTTCCTTTTGAAGAACTTTTCCATTGTTGGCAATGTCTCATTGACACCGTTTCCAAGAACTATCAACATTCTTTGAACAGCATTTGGCTTTGTCATACGTGGGCCAATAGCCAGAGCTTGGGAAGCTTTTGTTGTATAGCGATTTCCATCACAATAATGCTGGGTCAAAAAGTTGTAATGTGATTTCACCCAATTAGCTCCTGTTAGCCTCCGAAGATCGATTTCATTTCCTTTCTCCCTTCTTTCTCCACTCTCACAACTATTATCTTGTCAATGGCCTCATCCTTTCCCGGGTCCCTTGGAGAAACAGCTGCCCCTCCTCCTTTGCTCTGGATCTTATCCAAACCCACACCCCCTTGCCTCTTCAGGAACCAGGAACTTTATTCCTTCAATTGTCCCCGCTCTTTCTGTGTATCTTCACCTTCATTTCTAAAGTTTGCTCCTTCCAACGGTCACACACATGCTCCAGTCGCTCAGACCTTAAAATAAACAAACAAACAAACAAAAAACTCCTTGATTCAATGTCCCCTACTTCTCTGAACAGTTTTTTTTCTTTTAATATTTTTTAGTTGTTGATGAACCTTTATTTATTTATTTATATGCGGTGCTGAGAATCAAATCAGTGCCTCACACACATTAGGCAAGCGCTCTTCCACTGAGCTACAAACCCAGCCCCTCTGAACAGTTTTTTTTTAAAGAGCAAACTGCAATTGATACCTTTTCCACTTTCTTATCTGTCAGTCACTTCTCAATGTGCCATTCCGGCTTCTACCTACCAGTTCTCCACTGAGACTATTCCCATCACTAGATTCTTACGTTTGCCAAGATCAGGGAAGCCTTACCAGGCCATGAATTTTTGTGGCTTTTCTACCTTCAACTTTGATGACCACACCTCTTTTAAATGTTTTTATTTGTTCTTTTTAGTTATACATGACAGTAGAGTTTTGACATATTATACATACATGGAGTATAACTTTCCACTCTTTTGATTGTACATGATGTGGGGTTATGCAGGTCATTTAATAATACATGAACATCCAATTCATTCTGTCTTTCCTATTCCCATCCTCCCTCCCTTCCCTTCATTCCCCCTTTTCTAATTCAATGAACTTCTATTATTCCCCACCCCTTATTTTGTGTTAGCATTGCATATCAGAGAGAATATTCAGCCTTTGGTTTTGAGAGATTGGCTTATTTCACGTAGAATGATAGTCTCCAGTCATCTATTTACCTGCAAATGCCATAATTTCATTCTTCTTTATGACTGAGGGATATTTCATTGTGTATATATGCCACATTTTCTTCATCTAGTCATCTGTTGACAGGCACCTAGGTTGGTTCCATAGCTTAGCTATGTGAATTGAGCTGCTATAAACATTGATGTGGCTGCAACACTTTGGTATGTTGATTTTAAGTCCTTTGGTTATATGCCAAGAAGTAGGATAACTGGGTTAAATGGTGGTTCCATTCCAAGTTTTGTAAGGAATCTCCATTCTGCTTTCCAGAGTGGTTGCACCAATTTGCATTCCAACCAACAACGTATGAGTGACACCTCTTTTTGAAATGTGCCTTGACTTTGCCACCCTGTTTAATCTTTGCCATCCTCCCATGCCCTGGACACTTCTTCTTGATCTCTCACTGGACCTTCTCTTTGTTCCCCCTATTGAATGCTGATGCTCCCTGGGGTGCTGTCCAGAGTTCTGAATTTGACTCACTCCACACACTCCTTGGGAGAGCTTGTCCTTTTACGCTGGGATACACTCATGGGATAACTTCCCCTCTTTCTGTCTCCTCCCCAAATCTTCCCAACTCATATGTCCTTATTGGATAGATTAACTTGGATATATTTATATTTAATCACAAAGATAGTAACTTCAAATTTAACATACCTAAAATGGAATTCATATCTTTCTTCCAGGACCTGCAAATGTAAAAAGTTAGGTTATTTTTTTAGAATCTCTCATTGTCTTCCTTCGACTTCAGGATAAACAAAGAGCTCCTTAGTGTGGCTTTCAAGGTACTTTATGCAATCATGGTTAGCTCTTGCCTACCCCTTCTAGAGATTACTTGAGCTTCCTCTGCATTCCTCAGCAAAGCAGGACTTCTCAGAGTGCTACAAGTGCACCATGCTGTCACATGCCTTTCTTTGCACCTGTGTATTCTTTGTCTGGAATGTCCTTTCATTTCTATTTTGAAAATCTTACCAAGGAGTAGCCCATTTTCTGAGGAATCTATTATAGCAAAGAGCTGAATCTGTTTTCAGGTTCTCAGTCTTGAACATATTTGGACTATTATATATGTCTCAAGGGGTCCTAATTTTTAATGACATATTTGTCTTTCCTTCATATTTTCCTTTTCTTTTGGTATCTTTATGGGATATAAAGATATGGCTGTATCTTTTTAATCATATTTACTGAGTCTTTGTCTGGCTTCTATTAGATGCTTAGTAAATGCTTTTGGACTGAACTGACTTTTCCCTTATGAAAAGAACGAATATCTGTGAGTTTATAATAATTATAAACGTTTGAATGATGAATATCTTCAAACGTTTATAATTATTATAAATGAAAAATCAGTAGTTTTCCCCCCTCCTGTCATTCCTCTTTCTTTCCCCTCTTGGTTCTCCTGGACAATTCATTGACAGATCTCAGAAGTGCCAAGATCATGGAAGGACTTGTAGGAAGATAGGCGAGTGAGTAATGCTCAGGAAGGTGCTCACTTGTTAAAGATTTACTCCCAACTGAGCATGCCCAGAAAATCAATAGCACCTTGACTTTATTATGGGACAACAGCTCAATGAGGAAGGCTGTCTCTCATTCCAGTCAGCATCAAGGTCATCAATGTCAGCAGAGAGGCAAACAGATCTTCCCAGTTTTGAACTTCTCTGGTGAAAGGGCAGAGGCCCTGGATTTGATTAATAAAGGAGTAGAGAGCCATTTGAGGGATTTTCTTCCTGGTATATTGGAAAAGTCAGTCTGTGAGTAATATTAAGAAAAACAGTGTGGGCTGGGGATGTAGCTCAGTAGTAGAACAGTTGCCCAGCATGTGGGAGGCCCTGGGTTTGATCCCCAGCACCACAAAAGAAAAAAAGAGGGAGAGAGAAAGAAGGGAAAAAATAAAGAGAAAGAAAAGAAGAAAGGGTGGGGGGAGGAGGAAGAGCAGTGTGGAAGAGAGATGGAGGAAAAGCCAGGTGTCAGTATCTCTACCCCGACTCTTCTTCCCCTGTGGTTCAGAATCCTAGCAGAGATCAGGAGGATCATGAGAAGAAAAAAATAAATCTTTAAACTGAAACAGAAATTCAGGATGGTGGTGCTTGTGGACCAAGTGGGCTTTTGCCTTATGAAAAGCAGATCAGGAAATATTAATCCTTGCCTTGAATCAGAGGTAAACCCAGATCTTTAGTGGACCAAGGTACCCCTGTCTATCTGGGACCACCAGCCCTATGCTGCTCCATCTTCTGTACTATGTGATAATGGAGGTTCTTTTTGGAACTTTAGATCCAACAGATACCAATATCTCTTATTATCAGTTCCTTTCTATCATATTCCCACTACCAAAATCTATTTTTCTCTTATTTTCCCATTTCTTTTGTCCTGGACTCATTTTTCACTTCTTCCCTCTTGGAATTTTTTTTTCTTGTACTGAGGATTGAACCCCAGGGTTTCATTCGTGCTAGGCAAGCACTCTACCAATGAGATAAATTCTACCAATGAGGTCAATTGAGATAAAGGGCATTGGATAGAGTTTGACATACAATCAGATTGTGTGTTAGTTTTTCATCACCTTGATCAAAATAAGTGACAAGAACAACTTGGAGGATGAAAGGTTTATTTTGACTCACAGTTTCAGAGGTTCAGTCTGTGGCTGGCGGACTCCATTACTCTGAACCCAGGGTGAGGCAGAACATTGTGGCAGAAGGGGGTGGCAAAGGATAGTCCCTCAGTTCACAGCGGCCAGGAAGCAGAGAAGAAAGGAAGTGAGGAGCCAGGGACAAAATATAAACCACAAAGGCATGCCTCCAGTGACCTACTTCCTCTAGCCACACCCTACCTGCCTACAGTTGCCCTCCCAGAACAGTAGCTCCTTCAAATCGTTAATCCATCAAATGGACTGAGCCACTGATTAGGTTACAGGATCTCATAATCTAATTATGTCACCTCTAAACATTCCTGCACTGTCTCACACGTGAGCTTTCAAGGGACACCTCATATCCAAACCATAACAGATGGCAAATCTCATTTAATCTCCCAACGAAATGTCTCTCACATTCACCCTTTCCTTTGCTCAGATTTCTGAAGAGGCCTGTTTATCTGTACAATAGCTGCCTAACACCTTGACTTCTCTACCTGGCTATTGGAGTCACTTCTGATTATTTTCCCTCTGCATCTTAAAAACTTTCAAAGCCTCTGCATTGCATACACTATAAAATCCAGGCTTCTTTCTCTAATACTTATGAATCTTTTCGTGTATGGGTGTGCACAGTACAGAGGATCAACCCCAGGGCCTTGAGCGTGCAAAGCCAGCCCTCTACCACTGAGGTACATCCCCAGCTCTCAAGATTCATTCTTAAGCGTGCTCTTTAATATGGGTTGGAGCACAATTTACATTTCCAACCTTATTTCGCAGGTTTACTGCCCCCATCCCCCGCCATTGCTTTATACAATTCCAGAATTCCTTCTGAATTTCTGTAACCATTCTGTCTCTCAGCTTTGAAACTTTAGTTTCACAATGAACACATCTTTCAAAGTCAAACTCTATCAAATGCTCCCTATCCCAATTGACCTTTATTTCCTGTCCCAACCTAGGTGACCTCTCCCATATCAGGACCTTGAGCATCTAAGATCATGTTCATTGAAATCCTGGTGACTTGCTTTCTTGTACTGTCATGTACCAACACTATCACCCCTAAACTGCAAGTATGTAGAGGGAAAACGCTGCGTCTTACCTTATTAGCATTTCTATCATGCTCATAGAAGATTCACATTCATAGAATGAAAGAGGTAACAGAAAGAAGTAGATTTCTGGGGCATACTTTAGGAGGCATGGCTTACCTTGGAGCAAGATTCTCTCTGAAGTGTGGTCTCCATGATTTCTAGGCCTTCCCCCTAGAAGCTCAGTTGGTTCCCCACCAGTCTGACCCCCACCATCCAGGAGAACCACAGATTAATCTGAATCAGGAGATGAGCAGGACTAGGTCAGACCAGGACAATTTCCTGAGGTGGATGAACTGGGGATGATTTTGGAAGGAAAACAAGGTGATATTTCAATTGGAATAGAGGTACAAGGGACAGCCTTCCAGGAAAGAAGTAGCAGATGAGTGGATGTGCGAGGGCACAGGAGTGGTGTCGTTTTGATGGGGAAAGTAAGCAGAATCTCAACACTGGGAAGTGAAGGGAAAGGAGGATGTTAAGATGGAGTGAGTGGGAGTTCACACAGGGGCCCCCAAAGGCCAATCCAAGCAAAACAGGGCTTCCTTCTCTGCTTGGCTTAATCCCAGAGAAACCAAATGTCAGGGTGTGAGAGTTTCCAGATTACAACACTAGCTCTAGCCCTCCCTACTTTGTGTGGTGCTGGGGAAGTAATATAGCCTCTCTTTGTCTCACTTTCCTCATCTTTAAAATAGGAACAACACTAGCATTTTCTTTATAGGGTTATGATAGAATTAAATAAGCAAAAAAAATTAGAATAGTGCTTGAGTTATCCAAATTAATTATTTTATTAATCCAAGGGGAAACCCCAAGACCAGAGTCTAATACTTTGCATCATACAATTCATTAAAACAGATAAATCTTGGAATTTAGGAGACGTACACCAGAAAAGACCTCTTTATATATACATTTACCTACAGAGAACAGCACGAGACCCCAGAGGAATGGCAAAGCCATAGCTAGCTGGTCTTAGGGCTGGACAAGGAGTTCCTGAGAGTCTGAAGCCCAGTGTGGGGATCCACAGAGAGGCCTGACCTGGGGAGGAGCCCCAGAGAGGTACTCAGACCAAGGCTAAGGCAGATACCACCAGTTGCAGTGGGCAAAGGATCAACACAAAGGGGAAAGGAGTGGGGCAGAGCTGGGAGCCCCCCTTCTGCAGGGTGTTTGAGAAAGACTCTGAGCTGGAGCCTCATTAGCAAGAAGAGGCTGACTTCAGAGCCCCCCCTCCCCCAGCCCCCAACCTGTGCCATCTCAGAAATGCTCGAGAAAGTCAGTAAACAGGTATTTGGGGAGGCTTTTAAAAAATCCCTGTGAACACATTCTTAGCCAAGAATATAAGTTGAGAGCAAGGAGCTGCAACATGTGAGAGGGGCTGAGCATTATGGAGAGAGCATTACATCCCCCTCTGGGAAACACGACTGACACAGCAAAGAAACTTAATGAGACTCAATATCCTGCTTCCTCTAGCTGCTCCTTTGCAGGGATCGGAACGCAAATCTCCAGTGAGGGGAGGTTATCTGATGCGGGGTAAAAAGCAAGGTGGTTTGCAGCAAGTGTTTGTTAAGTTTTTCTTGGGCTTAAAAGGCCAGCAGGGGCCTTTCTTTGCAAAACAAGAAGGAAGCAGAAAAGACAGCCTGTATGTGGAGGTCCTGACAAGTTTCTCCCCTCGTTAATTCTACCAGAAAGGAGCCTCCAAGGCTGACCTGATGCCATCAGCTCTTGAAAGTGTCCCCAATGGGACTGGGCTAGGCCATCTTCAGGGAACAGCTCCCCAAGCAGGGGAGACACAACCAAGTTCAAGACACAGCATCTCTCCCCACCATGTGGCTGGAAGAGTTGTCCATTTTCTATTTACCAAGGAGGAGAGGGAAATAGTGATTAAAAAAAAATCTTTAGGTGGTTTGGAGATGAAGTGAGATGGAGATTAACAAGATTCAAATGCCTAGAGTGAGCAATCCCAGCAGCTCAGGAGGCTGAGGCAGGAGGATTGTGAGTTTGAAATTGACCTCAGCAGATTAATGAGGACCTGAGCAACTTAATAAAATAAAATAAATAAAATGTATTTAAAAGGGCTGGAATGTGGTTCAGTGGTTAAGCATCCCTGGGTTCAATCTCCAGTACCATATATATATATATATATATATATATATAAGCCCAAGGTGATATATATATATATATGATTACCTCTGAAGAATGCTAAGATACCACTGTAACCTTAGCTGAATCAATACATAATCAATTGGGAAAGAAAAAAAGAGAGACAGACTGAGGGAGGGGAGAAGAAGGTAAGAAGGAAAGGTCTTATTGTCAAACAGGATTCAAATCCCAGGTCTACTCATTGCTAACAAGCCAGGACATCAGCTTCCCTCCCTTATAAAACAAGATTGTCGATAGGTGGATGTGAAAGTTCTTAGCCTGGTACATAGTAGGTGCTCAACAAATGCTTACTCCTTTATTAATTTGCCTAAAATGTAGGGCTGTAGTCATGAAAAGAGAATGGGATTTATAAACTGCAGATCTGAATTCAAGTATAACTTTGCTGCTTGCTGTCACTATTTGCATGACAAATCATTCAGCCTCTCTAAGGCTTCAAATTTACCTACATTGTGACTGATAAAAACAATCTATCAATGGGATTGTTGTAAGGTGAAATGAAATAATACCTATGAAATTCATAGCACGATACCCTGTCCTTTGAAAGTCTCTGTAAACTATAGTCATTATTACCAGCTACTTGGTAAAAGCACTTTGGGGATTTGGGGTGAAGGGCTGGGGGAATGTGTAGAGAGCAATTAGCATCCCAGGCACTGAGTATTTAAATAGTCACATGCATATCTTAAGATATCTGGAATATCACCTGATCTTGCAACGCTGTACCTGGAAGTTACAAAAGTGGAAGCCCATCACCTAAATGGGCTTTTCTTATGAATAGGGAGGGCCAGTGAGTGGGCAAAATGCTACAAATCTGCTTCCAAAGAATCTGCTGATCATCTTCATAGGAGTCAGCTGATCTTCCCAGCTCAGGCGGGAAAAAAAAAAGTATTTGGGGCTTTGGGAGATCTGTTTCTACTTATGGTACTGTAACATCCAACTTGGAAAACACTGTTCACCCACCACTCACTGCTAAGAAGAATGTGTTAGCACCACAGACCACACACCAAATTGTCTTGCTAGAAGAAAGACAGCTGAAAAGTCTCACTTTGCTGCAGACACAATGATGTCACTGAGGAAATATTTAGGGAAGAGAGAAGAGGAGGCAAAGGCAGCTGACTTTCCTACTGCATCCACAGGGACCTGTCCTGGAGGGCACTCCCCTCCCGATTCCTTGCCCTGTTTCTTTCTCTGCACTTGGCAAGCCGGGAAGTTGGGAAGCTCCAAGCTTTCGCAGACTCATCTTTCATCTTCAATGACACTTTGAGTTTATTAAGAAGTAGGTGCTGCATCTCCCCTGCCAGGTCTTGGGGGAAGGTTGAAGTTGATTAATGCTTCTGGGGCCAGGAAGAAGAGAAAGGGAAGAACCTCTGTTTTGGCCATCACACAGAGAGGAAAACGGGGTCAAATGGGAATCTGAAGGGTAGCGAGAGGGGCAAAGTCAGCCCTGCAGGAACTAATCCCTGCAGACTACCCTGTCTGAAGGTCCCATGAACACAGTCAGTCAAGGGCTTTCTGGATTTGTAGGGACTCAGCTGAAGTTCATTATGTTTGCTATCGGTCCCTCTGATTGGGGCAGCCTTGTGTTCTTGAAAATATCATGTGAAACAATGAGTGGTTCTTGATTTACCTTCCAATGCTTTTTTAGATACATCAAGTTCTGAAAGGAACTGACTTGGAAAAAGCTGAATAGAATTTTAACTCTCCCCAGGAATATCTACTAAGAGGCTAATTGAGAGCTGATTACCTTCAGCATGGCTAGGAAAAGACCCAAGGCCAAACCTCTGCTCTTTTACTCATGGATTGGTTGAATTTGGAAAAGTCAGTGACCTCATCTGTGCCTTGGTTTCGGCATCTACAAAAGAGAGAAAATAATACCACTCATTCAACTGATGTTGACAGATTTATGGATTAACATAACTATGTGCCAAGAATCACGTTAAGGATTCTAGGATGAATAAGATATGGTCCCTACCCTTGAGGAGCTTATGATCCAGTCTATCTACTTTTATCAGATACTCTTATGTATCACTTTAGTTATTTTTGGCCTCACCTGTCTCTTATCTCATCTGCCACTAAAGTTTCCATCTTTATGTAGGCTCCAACTGACTTCATATAGGCACTACCTAACAGTGCCTTCTCTCATAACCCTGATACACAACTCTTGCCTCCTACCTTGAGAGTTTCCCATTGACATTGGGGCATGGACCATCTCCAGACCCTGCTTACTACACATGCAGATGTAACCCAGAAATGTAGGGGAGTTAATGCTCCTTGGGGGTAAAACTTTGACCACTAGATAATGAAATGCATAGATCAATTCTTCCCCAGTTCTTTCTCTGAAAGAATTTCACTAAGCTACATTTTGCATGGCTTCTTGGAAGGCTAGCCAGTGAAGTCAAGTCATCAGTCACACTTTATCACCTGTCAGTTGAAAAAATGCATCCTCATAATCACTTTCCGTTCTTCCTTGATTCACCCCCTTGATATTTCTTGCTCCAGGGGATGCCACTCCCTAGTAAAAATAAAAGCATATCAATCTCTTTATCAGTCAATGTAGTCTGAACTCCAAGTTTTTCCAGGCTAAGTTGGTATCAGAGTAATCTAAGAGGTAAACTCTGAGGATGCTCTTAGAGGGTAGCAATACCATCTATAGCATACAGTGGCATAAAAATACTAAACTTTTACCTCTTGTTAACTGGGGTAAAGTATAGGATGAGTTACTGAAATATGTTATAGTTGTAATGCTTGAAAAATGTGAAAGCATAGCTAATTGTACAGAAGGAGTTGGATTTTATTAACTACATTGGAAGTCTTGACTAAAGATAATGATAAGTTTAGAAAAACTATCAAACTAAGGCACCGTGTGAAAGTGAGAAAACCTTCTATGGAAGTTTTAAGGAGACTTATTTCCTCTAGTTGCGGGATACACAATGTTGAAAATTAAACCCAGGATCTCATTATAAGGGTGCTATAATGCCAAAAAGAATGTAGGCACAATCTCTGCTCCCTTACATTTGAATCAAGGCTCAGATGGGAAAAGAGAGGGATTATTAAGCCTAGAATAGGTGTCATCTGGGTAAATGAGCCCAAGAATCTTGAACTTGGATTGTCTTGAACATTGCAAGTTGGAAAAATCAATTCCTTCTCCCTTGCCAGGGAAAACATCATCCTCTTGCCTGGTGACCATGAAATAACTTCACCTGTATCTTGCAAGATAAGAACTGTTCTCTTCAAAATCTTCTGCTATTCCTTGATGACTCCAGAGATAGGGAGTCAGGATCAGGATAAGATTTCAGCATAGTTCAAGCACAGAAGTACAGTCCTTGGTCTGGGAAAAATAGTTATCTTCTGAAGGAATTATAGAACCTTGCTAATATGTAACAGCAGGGACCAGGATAACCTGTAGAAATGGACCTTTGTTGGAGTGGGAGTCAAACAGAAATCTAGAAAGGAAATATTTTTTGACCTGAAAAAATCTCACTTATATTTTGGCAAAGACACCTATAGCTTTTCATCACAATCTTTTTGGGATGTTTCTTTAAAACTTGGACATGATAATGACTCATAGGAAATTAGTGGAGATTTTGGAACTTCTTTGGTGTGGTATCAAAGAGATTCCAAGGTTCAAGAAAGTATACTATGAGATCTGAG